CATTGGGAATTCTGTCCAGTAATGTTATTTAAAAGATTCTGTTTGGTACCTCCAGCCATACTTGGCGTATGTGCTAGAAAACTGGCCTCCTTTTAAGTTGTGAGACCACCTAAGAGATCCAGGACCTTTGCACTCCCACCTATATTCCATATATGCCTCAGAGTCCCTCCTTAGAGCCTGATTCCCCAGCCAAGTTAGCATCCAAGACTCCCATCCACTCATCTACCCACCACATTTCTTATTTCTGTCCAGTCTCATCTTGCCTTAGTCCTTTCCCATCCAACCAATCAGTTTTTCTCTATATACTTGTCAGTTCTTTACTCTGTTCCCCTGAAAAAATTATTGTCTTCACTGGGAATACTCTATCTTCTTTCTTTCAATCTACTGTCATGACTCACCTCTTTGAATACTTGGCTTGGAACTTCCTAACTAGAGGAAATCTTCTCAGACCAACCACACACTGGGCATATTCAGTTTTGTGCTATATATTTTCTGTGTTTGTGTTAACCTTCTGGTCACCAGGTGAACCTTTGAAGATAAGACTATTATTGTCAATGTCTTCCTCCATTTTGGCCTAATACAATGAATGCTCTGTACACAACAGATGTCCCATAAATATTTATGAACTAAAAGAAATGTGATTTTTCAGGATGTTTAATAAACATATATTAGTAGAGAAGTGATCCTACTTAAAATAGAACCTAGTTTGTGGGTCTGCTTTTGAAACACAATAAAGTGACAAGGGAGGTATATAAAAGAGTAATAATCAAAACAGTGATTGGCCACCACACCTCTGCTACAATGAACCATCCCTACCACTTCTTGACCAGTAACAACAGGAGCTACCATTTGATAAATGCACACTCTGCTAAGCACTGTATATGAATTATCTCATGTAATTCTAAAAAAGAGAAATGATTATGCCATTATTAGCATTTTGCAAAGGAAAAAAACTAAAGCATAGAGGAGTTAAGTGACATGTCAAAATCATATTTTAAGTGTAAGTTCTGCTTTTCAAATCAGTTCCTCTGATTTAAACATTAGGGGAACTAAGAGGAAAGGATAGGAAGAGGATGGAAAAGAAGGTACATGGAAAGGGAAAATTCTTGGTCATGTTTTGGAGAGCTACTTCCTGTCAAATCTTCCTTCATAACTGTGGTGGCTGCGATGCTGCCCATCCAGCACACTGCTCCAGAACCGAGGCACGTGTTTCCTAGCCCAGCAAGGGCTGGCAGCTGATGGCCCATAACTGAGCCCTGGCCTGGGAACTGTCCTTGACAGAAGAGAGTGGCCTCACCCGTGGCTATAGCTGTACTCCAAAATTGATGGAATGTAGGGATGTACAGACTTGATATCTTAATGTTAATTAGGTTGGATATCGTTGAAGGGCCAACATAGCTTCAGTGCTCCACGTGACCTCTGTTACAGAAAAACCATGACTCAACTTCTCCCTTTCCATGCAGGCATATCTCTGCCTGTGAGTCTGTTTCTTGAGAGCTTGCCTAGAAATGAACCACTAATTGATGACACTGAGAGCCACTAACACACTAACCTATGGTGAAAAGTTTGGAATTAGGCCCACAGCCTGTCTCTAACACCAGGAGAGTCACATCCAAATAGCCTCACCCAATGCTGGCCACAGAAGTCAGTTGTGAAGTGGGAAGAGACTGTACTGTATTCCTCTCCACGCTAATGCTCCAAGTGGTAGCCTTCCCTATCTCCCTCACTGTGAGTACCAGAACCCCAACAGTCTCTCCTCTCCACTCTCTCAAACTCTACTTTTAGGAAAGGATTTGCTGAACTCAATCACACAAAAGGAAAATTACTAAAATTAATGTACTACTTCTTGGGATCACCACTCATCTGTCAATTTGTTGTTGTTCTGTGATGCTTGCATGTTGCTGTGACCAAGACCTGTGACACAGATCCAAGATGCAGTTATCTGAACAAAACAAGGGGATACTGAATGGTTTAAAATCAGGAAAGGTGTGCATCAGGGTTGTATCCTTCTACCGTATGTTTTCAATCTGTATGCTGAGCCAATAATCTAAGAAACTGGACTATATGAAGAGGAACATGGCATTAGGACTGGAGAAAGACTCATTAGCAACCTGAGATATACAGATGATACAACTTGGCTTGCTAACAGCGAAGATGACTTAAGCACTAACTGATGAAGAAGATCAAAGACTGCAGCCTGCAGTATGGATTACACCTCACTGTACAGAAAACAAAAATCCTCACAGCTGGACCCATAAGCAGCATCTTGACAGATGGGCAAAAGGCTGAAGTTGTCAGGGATTTCATTTTACTTGGATCCACAGTCAATGTCCATGGAAGCAGCAGTCAAAAAATCAGACATTGCACTTGGCAAATCTGCTACAAAAGACCTCTTTCAAGTGTTAAAGGTCAAAGATGTTACTTTGAAGACTAAGGTGCACCTGACCCAGGCTATGGTATTTTCAGTAGCCTCATATACTTGTGAAAGCTGGACAATGAATAAGGAAGACTGAAGAAGAATTGATGTATTTGAATTATGGTGTTGGTGAAAAACACTGAAAATAGAAGGACTGCCAGAGTGCTCCATAGAAGTGAGAATGGCCAGACTTTGTCTCACTTACTTTGGTCACACTGTCAGAAAGGACCAGTTCCTGGAGAAGGATATCATGCTTGGTAAAGAAGAGGGTGAACAAAAAAGGGACAGTCCACAACGAGATGGACTGAACAGCAGCTGTGACGATGGCCTGGAGCACAGCAAAGGTGTGAGGCAGGCGCAGGACCGGGCAGCGTTTCAATCTCCTGCATTGCGGTTGCTGTGACTTAGAGCCAAGTTGACGGCACCTAACAACAACACTGCTTGGGATTTCAAATAAGCTAATGCTTTTATTTTAACATTAAAACCAAAGGAAGAATATTCTTAGTTTCCTAGTGCTGTAGTAACAGAATGCCACACGTGGGTGCTTTTAAAGAACAGCAATTTGTCTTCTCAGATTTGGCTAGAAGTCCAAATTCAGGGCACCAGCTATAGCTCTCTTTGGTGTCCTTGCCTCGGCGTGTATAGCCCAGCACATCCTCTCATGTGCTTCTGTCTTTCTCAGTTTGTCCTTCTCTCTGTGTCTATGCTGTTTTTTATAATCGAGCAGTGATTAGGTTTAAGACACAGCCTAAACTGAAAGGTCCTCATTAGCATAATAAAACTATATTCCCAAATGGGATTACACCTACAGGTACAGGGTTTAGGGTTCAATTCAATCCTAACAAATATCTACAGCAAAGTTCCAGACATTATATTGGCTGAGTGGACAGGGGCTGTATTAGCATAGGGGTGGCCATCTCAGCCCTTGGAGCACAAGCCTAAGGGTGACTTCAGCGACCCCTGAGATCTTCACTGCCCTGCAATATCCCAGGTTCCGCGAGGATGCATCAAATCTATGCTAATACTATGGAGCCACTAGCAGTTGATGAGTTGCCACACTGCAACTGGGGCAGACCTTCCTTCCCCTAAGAGTAAGTGAAAATCTAGAGTCTTTACATGGCTTTAATTTCACCAGAAAAACAAATAAGCAATCAGCTCTTCCTTTCTCGCTCAAATCAAAAGGACATGAAAAGCCTTTTTCAAGATACTAGGAGTTGGTTTCAGAAGAGACAGCAGCCTTTACGTTCTCTCTTGCTTCTCTTACTCAAAAATGTGGGCCCGTGCCTGGAGTGATGCAGAGCCAGTTCATTCACATCAAGAGAAGACAGAAGGAAGAGTTTCATCATTTATGGATAAGTGGGGAATACTCCAAAAGTCCACCCACCTCCAGTGGGCAACAGGGTTATTCAGGTTGAGCTAAAGTTTATGATTACATGTACACATTCCATTCCCAAGGACCAGGGCTCCTTAAGCCATGAGAAGGACAAAGAGAAGCCCCTAAGTAATGACTCTGAGCCATGTCTCTTAGCTCAGGAAGGCATCAACACCAGGTAGATTCTGTCTTTCTCAAGGCTGACCTCCTTAGAATATTCAGCTATATGCTTGGTCTTTTGGTTTTGTGCCTCTGGGTCCGAGTGTTCTTTCTGAGGCTATTTTATACCTTTGGTCTCACTTACTAGTTAATAAAGGTGTATTTACCTACTTTTGGTCAGTCATGATAAAGTGGGACATAGGAAAAATTCACCAGGTGAGGCTTTCCTACAGTATATCTACTCCCTATTTGAATGATTCTTTATGTTTACTGGAGAAGGAAAAAGATACAACATTTGCTTCTAAAATTCTTACATCTCAAAAACAAACACTGGAGTACATACTGGCTCATCACTGATCAACATACAAAGCTATGGAGGTAGCTGGTAGCTGGCTCGGTGGAATCAGCAAGATACTGGAGCTGCAAGGACTGAGAATTTTAATTGCTATTTAAAAACAACAAAAAGAAAGCAAAAAACGTTGCTGTTGACTTGATTCTGATTTGTGGCGACCCCTGTGTGTTGGAGTAGAATTGTGCTCCATGATGTTTTCAGTGGCTGTTTTTTGGAAGTAGGTTGCCAGGCCTTTCTTCTGAGCACCTTGTGATGGGCTAGAATCTCCAGCCTTTCAGTTGATAGCTGACCCATTAATCAGTTGTGTCATCCAACTTTGACTTAATTGCTGCTTATTGCTATTATAGGAATCTCCATATGTCACTTATACTTCAATTAAAATTTTTTTTAATGTGACATTAATACAGGTTTGCTAACAGGTATAATTAATAAAATACACAGAACAGTCTACCAGACATTGTTCATTAATACTTCCCAGAGATAATCTAAGCTCTCGCTTTGGTAGTATAAATTTAGCTTTTTCAACTTGGCAGACACATTTTCATTAACAAAAATGTAAGATGTTAAATACTTAGATGAGAATTCTAAACACACACACACATACATACCAAGAAAATTACAGTCGGAGAATGGTGTGAAGTACAACTCACCCATGATGATGAAGGGGACTTTCAGGTATAAAGAGCTGTAGGATAATTTACCTTGATATACTGCCACAGATGACCGAGCACGGTTCAGTGTTGTGCAAATACTGAATGGCTTTGGCTGTTCCAATTAATATACTGATTCGAATGTGCCAAGAGAGCGGGGCCGTTTGACCCTAAAAAGACAACAGTAATTGGTTTGGTTGCACTTTCTGAGTGAAGTATATAAATGTATTCATACCCTGGAGTGTGCCAGAATAGAACCAGATAATGATGAGGAGCTGAGGTTGGGTGAATCAACATTTGGTTTCCCACAACCTATTTTTAATTCAAGATGCATTTTCTTCTATTTCTAGTAACAGTTCTAGGCCTCTTTAGTGAAAATAGAAATACCAAATAATTTTAATATTAGCTTTATCAAAACATGGATAGTGAGGTAACTATGTTTAAAGTTCATTAAATAAGATTTTTAAGTTCTTTGTGGCACAGTAGTGTGGGTAATTGAGAATAATCTGTTTTTATTCTCATTCTAAGTGAAACAATCTCTTAAGAACTGATTTTTAAACTTACCCTTCAAAAACATCTTGTGAAGTCCAATAGCCTACGTGAGCCATGACCTCAACTATTCTGAGACTAGAAGAACTAGATAGTGCCCAGTTACCATCATTGACCAATCTGACCAGGGTCACAACAGATGATCCTGGATAGAATAGGAGAAAAATGTAGAACAAAACTCAAATTCTTTAAAAAAAGGTCAGACTAACTGTACTTCCTGAGATAAGAAGACTCCTTGAAACTACTGCTCTGAGATACTTTAAACCTTGAATGAAAAGTATGCCCTGAGATCACCTTTTCAGCAGAAAAGCAGGGTGACACACAAAATAAACCATATTACCCATTGGGTCAGTTCTCTGCTAAAAAAACCATCTGTATGACTCGATGGCAAATAACAACAACAACAACATGAGTCCAAAAGGTCAATATTTAATCTAAAACAAACATGAAACGATAAAGGGGCAGAACAACTAGAGTCCTGGAAAAGGAATAATCAGAACACAAGAGAATGTTGACACATAGTGAAAAGTGTAACTAATGTCATTGATCAATTTGTGTGGAAATTGCCAAATAAGAACCCAACTTGCTATGTAAACTTTCACCAAAAACACAATAAAATATTATTTAAAAAAAAATCTAGTGAGAAATCATTATATTCTTTAACCTTCTCTTTCAGGAGGCTATATCACCATTATATTTTGTTTTGAGTGGTAAATTGCATAAAGCGGGAGCTCTGGTGGCATAGTGCCTAAGGCATTTGACTGCTAACCAGAAGGCTGGTGGTTCAAACCCACCAGCCACTCCTCGGAAGGAAGGTTGGTCAATCTACTTCCGTAGTGATACTGCCTTGGAAACCCAGGTGGGGTCTCTATGAGTCGGCTCTGACTTGGGGGCAGTGAGGTTTTTTTTTTTTTTGCATAAAGTTATACAAATAAAAAATATCTGGAAAATATAAATAAAATATCCAAATGTAACACAGATATAAACTCAGTAAAGGTATAGAATCAATTAGCAAATTTTTGGATTACCAAATTTTTGGTTACGGGCACAACTCAGGTATTTATGCAGCCTTTTAAGAGTAAGAAAATAATTCATGGAGACATGCTGTACTTCTTTGGGAAACCCATCCTTGGCTATCCCCTCATGTGAACATATCTTGGCCTCCCAGCTCATTGAAGTTTCTAGCAGCTCCCCTGAGGTTACAGAGGGTCAGGAGACCAGACAGAGTAATAGGTATGACTTACTACACACTGTAATCTGTCAAATAATGATCCATTTTCCATATATGGATAAACCAAACAGAACTTCTCCGTCTCTGTAAAATATGCAGCCAACTCCAGTATGTTTGGATGATGAAACCTTGAAACAAAAGATTTTTAAATCCATAAAATTGTTTATCCAAATTGGAAATGAACAATACTCTGGTGGGGGGAGGTGGCTAGGACGGGATGGAGAATGAATCAAAAGCAAGTTACAAAATTAGCCAAGAGAGAAATAATTTCACCGGATCCATTATGGAGATATGCTTTCCAAATTTGTCTAAAGACTTCTAAAAATACTAGGCACTCTTTTTGATTATGACTGTGATTATGGGAATATAAATAAAATATCCAAATGTAAAACAGAAAATTTAAGAAAGCAAAAAGTCATAAGATTTGGGATTTTGGGTACTTTACAAAAGATAAATGCAACTGAAATTATTCATTTCATTGGTTTAGCTATACTTGTGGAAGTAAATTAACCAAAACAGAAGGAAACAGACTGTATTCATTCAACAAACATTTACTGAACACTACACCCACCACTCCATGGAAGGAAGATGGGGTAATCTACTTCCATAAAGATTTACCACCTTGGAAACTCAATGGGGGTCTTTATGAATTGGACAAGGCTTCAATGGCAGTGGGTTTGGTTTTATTTATTTATTTTACTATGTCAGTGCAAAAACGGCAAGGAGGCCACATGTTCTGACCTCCTCTAATCCCACAAGAGGAAGACAGAATTACTATCAATAGCCCAAGGCCTATTCCTGAGAGGCCAGACATGCTGCCTCCCGCCAGTCTTTTCTCCAACCGTTCTTCCCAAAGCACCCACCACCTCTCTCCTGGGTTCGATAATTTGCTGCAGTTGCCACACAGAACTCACGGATTACAGGGTTTATTAGGGAAGTACCAGGCTACAACTCAAGTTCAGGAAGAATGCTCAGTCTCTCTCCCAGCCCACCATCCCTCAGCCAACAGTCTCTCACAGTCTCTCCCCCAGCAGTGCGTGTCCCTCGGTGTCTCACTCAGCAATGCGTGTCTCTTGCGTCTCTTTCCCAGCAGCGGGTGTCTCTTTCAGGAGCGCGTGTCTCTTTCAGCAGCACATCCTCCTCAACCAGCAGTCAGAGAGAGAGTTCTGCCTCTAGGAGCCTCCTTTCCAGCCCGGCAGAGTGGCCAAACTAGCCAATCATAGCATCAGAACTCTAAGCACCTGAGAGAGAGTGGGCACCTCCCAGAACATTGTTTTGTGCCACGCCCAACAGAAATACTCCAGGTGGACAACTTCAGCAATCAGGAGCTCCTCAGTTGCTCGTAGAAAATCCCACCTTGGAGTTTACAAAGACTTATGGGTAGAAAAGCCACACTAAGTAATTTACTACACCACAGTCAGGTACTATGCTAGGTGCCAGTCACACAGCTAAAAGAGTCACCCAGTGTTATCTCCATACTTCTTAATCTACCTGACTAGTAAAGTTTGATGCTGTGAAACATATCAATAATTTTAAATCACAGATTTCTATGTTACTATCAAATACATTTCTCAGGCTGCTTTCCTAATAATCATTTATTAGCTTATTAATAAGATTCTGTCTTGAATGAATATGTGTCATTGCTACAGAGACCAATGGAACATGTGTAACAACCATGAAATACAAAATGTGAAATTCACACATACTATGAACACAGTTCTAGGCACTCTCAAGGTGCAGTGGTTAAAGCATTCGGCTGCTAACCAAAAGGTCAGTGGTTCAAACCCACCAGACACTCCTCAGGAAAAAGATGGGGCAGTCTGCTTCCATAAAGATTTACAGCCCTGGAAACCCTGTGGGGTCATTTTTTTCTTCCTTTAGGGTCACTGGGAACTCTGGTGGTGTAGTGCCTAAGGTGTTTGACAGCTAACCAGAAGCCTGGCCATTCAAACCCACCAGCCACTCATTGGAAAAAAGGTTGGGCAATCTACTTCTGTAGTGATACCTCCTTGGAAACCCAAGGAGGGTCGCTATGAGTCAGATCTCACTGGACAGCAGTGAGTTTGGTTTGGTTTGGTTTGGTTATAGGGTCACTAGGAGCTCTGGTGGCTTAGTGCCTAAGGCATTTGACTGCTGACCAGAAGGCTGGTGGTTCAAACCCACAAGCCACTCCTTGGAAAGAAGATTGGGCAATCTACTTGTGTAGTGATACCACCTCAGAAACCCAAGGAGGGGTCACTATAACTCCACGATGGTGGTTGCATTTTATATAAGTCAGAATCAACTAGATGGCAGTGGTTTTTGGATTGGGTGAAACCAGTTCAACAATTAGTTGTTGAACATCTATTATGTCTTGAGCATGCTTAGGTATATTTAAATAAATAAAGCTGTTTTTTAAAAAAAAGTTTGAAATATAGGTCTATAATTAATTTCTTTAGTAGCAAAACTTTCCAATACACACATATAAACACACAGACTTTTAAAAAAGATCAAAAACTTCCGTGGCAGAAAGTATGTAAAAAATCCCTACACCTCTTATGATTCAGACAGTACCTATAAAATGAAAAGCAATTGACTGAAAAGGATTGAGCTGGTATATCTGGCTGACATACCAGTTGATAAACTAATCTATATTACCTGCAGGCTGATTCTCCTGCAATTTAAGACAATTCAAAGAGAAATAAATCTTTGGAAAGGTGAACTGCTGTATGGAAAGTGAATTTGCTCTGTAAATTTTCACCCAAATCACAATTTAAAAAAAGAATATTATTAATAATAATTAGACACTCCCATTAGGTTACTTTATATAGACATAGTAGAAAAGACCAATTGTTTATTTTCAAATATTACTGATCAAATAGAAAAATGAATACTTCAGGAGTTAGCAAGGTATGGAATACAGAGATGCCATGAAGAGGGACTGTGGGTTTTGAGCCTATGGACCCCCCCCCCCATCCTTTTGTTACAGACTTTGAAATCAGCAGGATTTTAGATTATGTAGACCTGAAGATCAGCAAGATCTGATAGCTTTCCAAATCAATTCCACAAATATTTCTGAGCACCTGTGTGGACTGAACATGGCACAAGATACCATGGTGTGGCAGAGCAAGCAGACCTGAGTGACAGACAAACCTGGGTTTGAATCTCTGCTCTTTTTATCAACTGGGTAGATTTGAGCAATTTTTTAACTTCTCTGAGCCTATTTACTCAACTGTAAATAATATTTAAATCACCTACTTCCCAAGGTTCTTATGAAAATTTAATGAAAGGTAAAACTTAGACAAGGTCAGACCTTCAAAAATACTAACTCCCTTCCTTTTCCTTGAGCAAGTGGGATAAAAGGAATCAGAAGCCAGATTCTAAAGAGTTTGCAATACTAAGTCACAGGGCTTATGGGCTTCTCTTAATATTAAATCAAAAACACTCACCCTCAAGCTTAAATGTTACTCCTTCAAAGAAGCCTAATGTGCTGCTCCCCCAGCCCAAGTCCCAGTGACCATTTCCTCTTCCTTCCAAGCTCTGTACTTCCTCATCTCATCATATAGTTTTCTGAAATTGCCTGTTTACTTACATACCAGGTACCATGGTCCAAGAAGAAAGGTTGTGCCTGCCTTATTCATTTTGAAATGTCTAAGAACAGGAAAAGTGGAAGTGATTTAAGAAATGACTTGCATCTTATAGAAAAATTAAGATCTACCTCAGTTTCCTCATCTGCAAAACGGGGTCAATAACAGTACTTACTTCATAGGGTCGTCATAAGGATCAATTAATTACTACACATAAAGCACTTCAAATAGTGCCTAAGACTAAACAAACATTAGCAAAACCAGTAATAATGGCATACCAGGAATACTGAACATCACAAAGTTGTCAATTCTCCCTAAATTCATTCATAAAGTTAATACAATTCCATTTAAGAAAAACAACAGGATTTATTTTTTACCTAGACAAGCTGTTGTTGTTCATGTGGAAAATATCTCACCAGAATAAATCCAAATGGATAAGATATTTAAATGTAAATAAAATGAAACCATAAAAGTACTAGAAAAAAAAATGAATTGTTTTATAACCTCTTAGTGGGGAAGGCCTTTTAAACTATAAAATGGATCACATATTTAAATGTGAAAAATGAAACCATAAAAGTACTAGAGAAAAAAAGCATGGGTGAGTTCTTTTATAATCTAGAGAAGAAGGCTTTTAAAACTATGATATAAAACCCAGAAAAGAAAGAATAGATAAATTCTACTAAATCCAAACCATTTCTACATGGAAGAAACTAGAATTAGCAAAGACAAATTGACAATTTAGTAAAAAATTATTTGCACCTCATAATATAAAAAATAGGCTACTTATATCTAATGTATAAAATGCTCCAATAGCCTAATTTTAAAAAAGGGGAACAAGCAAAGGATATTTTCAGACGGTTCACAGAAAAGGAAATATATCTCAAATTTATGAAGAGATGATTACTCTTACTCATACTGAAAAATAAATTTAAACTACACCGAGAAACCATTTTTATCTATCAGAATGGCAAAAATTAAAAGATAAGAATACACATTAGGTTGTCAAGAATGTGGGGAACCAGAAGAGGAGAGTTCCGGTAAGATAGCAGAATAGGCAGAAAGACTGCACAGACCCTCTTCAACAAAGAAAAGGGGAACCAATTAACACAGATACAGAAGATAATCCTGGATCCCTGAACCTTGAAGGGAAGAATAGAGAAGTGAACTAAAGTCCAACTAGCAGAAGAATTTGCATGAAAACACCAAAAAAGGAGACATACGGAACTGCAGTCTGGCAGGAATCTTGATGGCACAGACAGCTTGGATATTGCCGAGTGGTGGTAAGACCTAAGAATTAACCTAAAAATCAGCCTGCTAGCCAGCAACTGCAGGGAGAATTGCTCTGGTGGCTGGGGAATAAAAGGGAAAGCAGCGAAGAGGAAGATGAGCTGAGCTGTGGACTTTTGCATGTCCAGAGGGTGCAGCCATTTTGAATGTTTACAAGTGGCTTGACCATTTTGGATATTTAAAGTGACAGCATTCTCCCAGATTCCAGGGACTTAAGAACAAGCTCCACTTGCCAAGAACCCCAAGGACATTCTGAACCCAGACTACTGGAAAGG